CCTCCTACCTCCCTCCCTCCTACCTCCCTCCTCCCTCCTCCCTCCCTCCCTCCTCCCCCTCCCTCCCCTCCCTCCCTCCCTCCCCTCCCTCCCTCCCTCCCCTCCCCTCCTCTCCCTCCTTCCCTATCTCCCTCCTGGAGGTGACCCTAAATGAGATCCTGCTGACCTCCCAGTTCAGGTTCGCAGAAAGTTCAGCGCGAAACCTGAGGCCGGGGAGGTGACGTTGGACGAGGCCAGCAGGTTCCTTTCCTTGCTACTTGCCATGGCTGCACCCTTACGGTGACTGGCAGGACTTTGACGTTCGTTCCCCTCCAGCCGCTGCGAACAAGTTCTCACTATCGGGTCTCCATCAACTCGCAGTCCTCCCTCTGGCAGGCCAACATGCGGAGGCGGGTGGAGGGGGACGTCTGCTGGGATTTCTTCACAGCTGGCTACTTGCCTCTGCGAGTGACGGCCATCTACCCCCGACCGTACTCACGGGTCCGACCCAGAAACACTCCGATCGTCATCAGCTTCAACACGCCCCTCTTCCGGGAGGCTGACGGGGGGACGTGGGTGACGGTCAAGACGAACCTCAGCAGCGAAAGTCCCGCGGGAGGGCTCAAGGCCCCGCTCTACGACGAGTCAACCTGCTCGCTCGTCCTCGAGCCCGAGGTAAGGCTGTCGCTTCCTCTGCCTGTGGGGTGAAGGGATGGGACAGAGCGGGACTTTCCCTCCTAACGCGATAGTGCGGATACGACTACGACCGCAGCGGATTTGCGGGAAGAACGGCGAGTCGCTCGAGCCCCGACAGAGCGATGGCCTGCTCAAGACTTCGACTTTCAGGTTGCGCGAAACGAGGCGAGATAAGGCTGATCGCTCACTCTCATCAGGTGGAGATTCTTTACTACCCACGGCAGCTCGGAGGTTTGACATTTGCATGGTCACTTGTTGTGACGAGCTTGACAGATCTCAAGATACGAGTACAACAATCAAGTTTCTGCTGGTGATGCTTGCTTGCTGCCCCGTCGAGAACTTTTTTCTTGTCCTCGTCTCCTTCTCCATTCGATTGTCACGGTGGCTGGCTGACGTGTGATGTTTGACACCTGAAGGCGTCTCGGCGGTGATCGCTCGGCATCGTGAAGGGAAACTAGTTCCGCTGTACCAACCCACGAGGACATAGCAAGACTTACCTTGATCCTACTGCTGATGACTTGGGAGATAATCTTGAAGTCTTCAGTGCGATGAAGGAAAGTTTTGTAACAACATAAGAGTAAGTGTAAGAAGACAAACGGATACAAACAAGGGATCTTGTGAGATGGTATAGAAGGAAACGTGGGAACAGGCATTCACTGTAGATTTTATTACACAGGTGTTCTTCTGTACATTCACATGTTTCCATTCGAATCGAAGCGGATCAATCGCGTCGCTCGTTCATTGCGCCTGCTAGTTTGCTTCAGCACCTTAGACGAGCCAAGACGACAGGAGATGAAGTGAGTGCAAACTTGTGGACACCAACATGCAAACTTGAGGACAGCGAATGGCAGGGAGGAGGAGGAGGAGGAGGATGGGGAGGGGAGGGCAGGGGGTTGGGGGGACAGGGGCGGAGAGGTGAAGGTAGAAGAGCAGGAGGAGCAGGAGGAGCAGGAGGAGCAGGAGGAGCAGGAGGACATGGGAGATGGGAAGGGGGAGGAGGGGGAGAGGGGAGGGCCAACCCGTTCCAGAACCGAAGGACCAGTCTTTGCCTGTCAACCCCCAGGCGGACGGCAGCAGCATGTTCATACCCTGCGCAGGATTCGTCAAGGAGCCGGAGACGACCCAACGGCAGAACCTGCTGGTAGCACTTGTAGAAGTTGCGAACGAAGTCGAGCAGGAGGAAAGTGTGAACGAGTTCCGTGATGATAACATACCTGGGGGTGTGAGAGGTCAAGAACATGGGCGATGAGATGATGAGACGAGTACCAAACAATGGAAGACCAGATTTTCATGTACCCGCGGAAAAACAGAGCGACGAACCAGAAAGAGCACTCGAGCACCCTGGAGAGAAACAGGGACACTGCCAAGGGTCAGCAGAAGCAGAGAGCTCAACGACAAGTCACCGATCCAAAGGGAGGTCATGTTGTCCACGGTCTTGGAGGCGGAGTGAAAGACGTACAGCTGTATGTCAAGTCAGGCAGGACCCTGGCGGCGCCGCCATGGCTTCACCTGCGGGAGCAAGGCGACAGCCTCCAGGTAGGTTGAGAACGCCCACAAGACGTTGATGAACCAGTTGGACTGTCAGCAAGGCAAGTGTGAGAGGGAGGGCGAAGGAGAGCAGCTGAGCTTACGGTGACGTTAGGGTGTAAGAAGAGTCCGATGACCCCACAGGCCCCAATGATGTAGAGATCCTGAGTGACTGCCGTCAAGACGACCAAGGAGAACCGCAGCAGACTGTCTGACGTTGAAGCCATCGTTCTCCTCTTGGTACGATGCCTTGTACTGTGACATCATGAGTACATCAATGTCCTCGCTATCAGGCTGCATTACCTGGATGCGCATCAGGAAGACCAGGTAGCATGTCAGTCCTGTCGCCCGAGGTCACACCGAGTCACAGCAACTCGCTCAGCCCAGGAGGCTCGTCACCAGTCGCTATGGTCTCGATGAAGGCGTAGAGGTAGTCCTGCACCGTTTCCTTCACCTGACCACAAGGACCCAGACTCTCGCTTCACCTGCTCGTACGCTATCTTGAACATGAGCCGAGTAAGGAAGACCGCTGCAGAGGAGGATGATTCAACGACGATGACGATGACATGTACATCAACAAGAGAAGTACAACACCTGCGTAGAGCTGCTGGGTTTTGAGGCTGAGGCCCTAGGTCAACATCAGTCATGCGATGGACAGAGGGCGCAGGCCAGGTGGAACCAACCTGAACCGATTGAGTTTTCTTCACCACACGGAGGACGAGCAAGACGATTCCTTGACAAGCTTCAGGTTGAAGGAGGGCAGACAGAGATGCCAACCGAAGGTTCGCAGAACTTCAGCGAGGAGAGACACGAAGTAGAGGAAATCGTGTGAGAAGAGGTACCATATCATCAGGACCATCACGCCTTGATAGTTATTGAGACACAAGGTGCGCAAACAAGGTCTTTCATACCAAGAATGTAGGCGTATGATTTCCCTTCCTTCCGCTGCATTCTGCGTATCGCAGGCTCTATTTGATTTTCCCACAAAGATACCTATCATGAGTCAAGATGTGACAAGAGGTGACTAAGAAATGACGAATACGATACCATCTTGTGTTGAACCATCCTCAGCTTTTCTTGCCAATCTTTGTCGCTCATCCTAGCAGCCGGATACTTTGATGCTGCGTTCTACTGGAATACACTAGTCAAACACATGTTCAGCGCAATGAAGCCCCTCTTCGCTCTTGACGTCTTATACAATTCCTCCAGCTGTCTTGCTGCAGGTATCACATGAAACCGAACAAACGAACGACTTCTTCGAATGGTGACCCTGGGATATGAACTACTACAATGTTTCACATCGGATTTTTCTGTCTTTTTCTTCGTGGATGCAGTGCAGCCTACCCTCCCTTCTAGAACGGCCTCCTCGAACGTTCTCCTTCCTCCCTCACGACAGGTACATGTCTGTATCAGAGACCATGCACACGCGTCTATACCCGGCTTCTTCTCTCGCCCATACCTTCCGCCCCTCCCCGCCCCCCCGCCCCCTTTCCCTCTCCAATCTTCATAGAGCGCCTCTGCTTTGTCAGAGAGCGGTTGCATCATAACGATTAGTCGTTACAGACCGTTTTCTACCCAAATCTTTGGCTAGCAGGCTGGGTGCAGCCCCACAAAACTTGTCCCTTTTCAGCCTGGCAGTGAATGGCTGGGCGAGGAGGAAGGCGGGAAAACGAGGAAGCGCATGGAGATGAGCGGGAAGGATGAGTGAGGGCTGATGGCAGCAAGCGGAAGCAGCGCCAAGGACGGCGGGGTGAGTGAATCGACGCAAAGAAGTGGTGCGGGGAAGGATGGGGCAGGGGAGGAAGGGAACAAAACCAAGGAGCCCAGGCAGTTTGTGATTGAATCCCAGCCTCCAGTGGACAAGAGGAGATGTCCCACTTGTTTTGTTGTGTTTTCCAATCAGTCGAATGCAAAAAGGCACGCGAAGAACTGCACGGGGCCAACGTTGAAGAAATGTGGGCGACCAGTAGGATTCAAGCCCTCGGCGGACACAAAGCAAAGCAAGAAATGGAAATGCGATTGCTGTGGGAAGGAGTACGTGCGCTGGTACTTGAAGAAGCATATGGAAGAATCGTGCCCAAACCCCAATGCTCAGTTCGAGCTGCAGAGGATGATGGCGATCGTAGCCGACGCGGAGGAGGAGGCGCGTATGGTGAGCTTGGAGTGCGAGCGACTCATCAAACAAGCTCATGAGGAAGCTGCTCGAATCTTGGGCGAGGTTCCAAGCGAATCTAACGATGAGAGGACGAGAAACACTGACGTTGGATCGACCAACGATGTCCATCAGGAAGACTTGTCAGAGGAGGAGGGGTGAGAATTCTAGTAGCATGTTTACTGTACACCAGAACGTATTCACAAAGCACACGCTTCCTCTTCGGGGCAAGTCGTTGGATCAGATCCATTTGCGACCTGACCGTCACTATGGAAGACAGCAGGCAGGACGAACAGCCCAGACACAAGGACTGAGCAGCCTAGGAGGATCAGCTCATGAAACCTATGCCCCCTTTGCGATGACTCCCTTCTGGAGCACGGCGATAAAATCTGAAGAGCACAGACGTGTCAGACTTGTCATTGCTCGTGGGGACGGGAGGAAGGTCACCTGCTGCTGAAGGTAGGCATCTCGCTGTAGGGATGGGCAAACAGGTCCATCAAGTCCTTCAGCGGGCCCATGTCCCCCCCCTGGGCATGCTGGTACGCCTCAGCAAGCATCCACTCGCGCGGGATATACTTTGGGTTGACCTGCGGCATGTTGTGAGAGGAAGAGCAATGAATTGGCCGAGCAGCCACACCTGAAGCATCTCTCTGCTGACCTCCTCCCGATCTCTTCCCTCCTCCCGGAGGGCTTCGAGCCAACGATCGATCCATCGGATGAGCTCCTCCTTGGTCTCTCCAGCCAGCTCTCGGTACCACGACGGCTCCAGCACTTGGAGCACCGCGTCTCTTTGCTCTTGCAACGGCATGCTGCTGTTGGCGCCAGCAAGCATGCGAGGGGCGAGCGAGAGCTGCCTCCAGAAAATGGTGTAGTCTGTGGGATGTCTAGTCAAGAACCTCTCTAGGCTAGTCCAAAGCCTCTCAGCCCGCCTCGTCAGCCCCATCTTCCTTGCAAACATGTCATGAAGATACTTCTGCGCGACTGACGTGAAGTTCTTGATGATCGCCTGCACACTTGTGGCCTCCTCGTGCCCGAGCAAAGGATACAAGCTCTTGGCGAAGCTCTCAAAGTTCCTCCCCGCAGCGTTGGGCTGATTGAGGAAGGAAAAGTGATCACCAGCTCCGATCCACATGCCCCAGGAAGGATCGTATCTCTCGATGAAGCCGAAGGGTCCATAGTCCATGGTCGTGCCGCTCACCAGGCAGTTGTCTGAGTTAAAGTTGCTCTGCGTGTATCCCACCCGAATCCATTCAGCCGCCATGTGCGCCAGTCGCTCTCCGACCTCGCGAACCATCTGAACGAGCATGGAGCCCTCCATGCTCTCACTCTTTAGGTGCGAGAACTCCCTGCCGATCGTGTGCATCACCAGCTTGCGCAGCTCCTCCCTGGCCCTCTCGTCCCCTCCTCTCGCCCTCCGGCCGTACAGCTCGAACTGACTGACTCGGATGAAAGAGCGGGCGACTCTCGTGGTGATGGCACACTGTTCTGCCTGCAGAACATTACCCCCGTGCTTGTTGATGAAACCGTTGGCGTCCGCGGCCTCGAGGGCGTCTCGGTACCATGGGCGTCTCACTTGCTCTGTGCCCGAGACGACGAGACAAAGAGCTCGCGTCGTCGGCACTCCGAGAGCATGCATGGCCTCCGATGCAAGAAACTCTCGTATGCTGGATCTGAGAACTGCTCTCCCGTCTCCTCCCCTGCAGAACGGAGTTCGCCCAGCTCCCTTAAGTTGTAGCTCCCACCTTCCAGAGAGCTCATCCTCAACCTCTGCAAGGGAGATCGCCCGACCATCCCCGTACCCATTGCCGCTCCTTCCTGCTCCGTCTGGGATGATTTCTTCCCCATAGATCGAGAGAGCGTAAGGAGTTGCCCACGTGGAGAGAAATCCCGGAACAGCTCGCACGTCCCCGCCAAAGAGGGCCGCAAACTCCTCCTGCTCCGCGTCTGAAGGCTTCAGACCAATCAAGCGCAGCGTGTCTTCGCTGTATGCTATGAGCTTCGGGAGAGGCAGAGGAGTAGGATGCACTAGCACGTAGTGGCCGGAGGAGACTTCTCGAGCATGCTTGTTCGGAGCATGCTTGTACTGGTCAGGGTCGGGGTTAAGCTCCTCCAGGATCGAGTTAACCGCACGAGAGGAAAGGCAGGACAAGCTCGAGGTATGTTGGGAGCAGGATGATGATCGGTTCTCAGCTCGAGCGAGGGAGCATGTCAGGAGGAGCTTCAGCATGGCAAGCAGCATGGCGCTCCCCATCCATGCTCTCCCCGTCCTGTGCATCTCAACGCCGCCCACTAGGAAAAGACCCAGCCCAGGATTTCAGTGCACTGAGACTGTCGGACGGTCAACGCCGGGCCGCCGGACTCCGGAACTTGAGCGCCGGGTCCGGGCCTACGACTCAGTGACGGGCTCGATGACGTGTTGCGCTCAGTCAAGCCGTAGTGGCTGGCGGATCGCTCGGCAAACAAGGAAACGGCAGTGCAGGATGGTCTCTTGGCCTCGCAGTTCGTTCTAAGATTTTAAACTTATCTGTGAATACTTGAAGGCCATCCAAACTTGGTAATCATCTGTCTTCTGCTCAGGTTTTGCCGAGCCGGGCTGCCGAGCGGCGGCCAGCCTGATCAGCGTGTGTGTGGAGACAACCATGCCATGATGCACGCTAACGCGTGTCCGATCAGGTCACTGAGTCTCAACGAGCGACAGTGCTTAACGCAGTCATCGGAGCGACTCGGAAGTCCTTATGCTAGTATGCTAGACAAGTAGCGACTAGCCTAGTAGCTCCGACTCAGTGTGATAAAAAAAGTGGTGGACCGTTTCGTTAGTTCAACTTTACTGATGAGATCAGCATCTGCTGCTGCAAGACAAGAAATGACTGCTTCAAGTAGGTCTTCGCCAGCGAGACTGACCGGTTGCCTGCAGGAAGACCGTCACTCCTACTCCTCCTGCTCCTCCTGCTCCCCCTATTCCACAGCTCCACAATCTGATCCTCCGGGAGTCCTCCTCCTCCTCCTCCTCCTCCTCCTCCTCCTCCCCTAACGCACCTTGTGACGATAGTAGATCTTTCCAGTGCTCCTTGAAACATGCTCCGTCCAACTATCATGTCACTCAGGTTTCGAGGGAAGGCAAGTCACTTCAAGTGCTCACCCTTCGGGTAGAGGCACGTTCTCCTCCTCACCCAACATCTTGCTGCTATCCTCTCCTGCTGCTGGTAATTTCTCGATCTGCTGGGCTTCGGAGGACGTGCTGGGCCTTCGGCAGAGTGAGGTGAAGGAGGCAGAGAAGAGGGCAGAGGGAGCGAGAGAGGGGCAAGGGGAGCGGAGGGGAGCGGAGAGAGGGGGAGGGAGGTAAGAGAGGACAAGAGTCATAGAGAAGGAGAGGAGAGGAGAGGATGCGAGGGGATAGGAGGGAAGAAGAAAGGAGAGGAGAAGCAAAGAGGGGATAGGAGGGAAAAGGTGAACGGCGGGACAGGTGACATGGGTCATGGAACTTCACCTCGGAGATACTGCTGGAGACGCGGTGGCCAACCTGCAGCAGCGCAACGCAGCAGTCAGTGGAGCCGAGGACGAGAGCGGGGTCAGGAAACCTCATGTTGGGGACTGAAGACTTCTACGGGGAGGGGGTCAGCAGGCAGCGCAGTCAGAGGAAGGGGAACTGACCACACTTGCTTCCGGGCCGAGGATCTCCTGACTATTTACAGCGGAGGGCTGCAGAAGGGGAGTTTGTTGCAAGCTCGCTGGTCCATCCCGCGAGCTGCCCCGCCCGTCTCCTGCTGCCGCAACGTTCTCCTGGCTCTCCCGTCGGATGCTCGAAGACTGCAGGGCCTCGATCCTGAAGAGGGCGTTGGAGAGCTGCTGCTGGAGTCTATTGACCTTCTTCCTCTCTCTGCTTGAGCTGGGAACGCAAAAGTGAATCCCTTCTCCTTGTTCAGTTCG